GACTTATATGTCAAACTATAGTTCACTTGGATATTGGTCTATGGTGGATGCATCTGTGAAGTCTTCTTTTTCTTTAAAATCCATGTTGTTGTTATAACCTTAGATTAGCCAAGAGTTTAAAATCCATGTTGGTGAGTTATTGTGAGTGACAAAAGCAAGTTCGTGCTACAAGTTTTAGTGTCTCACTCAAAGAGTTTCTACACAGGACTAGAAGTGATGGAGAAATTACTGGTACAAAAGCCAAGATGGATGGTAATCATTGGCGATGTGTGTTGTGCTTCTGAAGATGGATGGTAAGCATTGGCGAGGTGTGTTGTGCTACTGAAGATGGAGCCAACGAGTATGCACATGATCATCAAGAACCAATCAATGACAGGGTTGTAGATTTGACCCATCCGCCTCTTGGAAGTGTGGATTATCTTAAGCCTCAGGAAGCAACCAAGAGCCATGGCTTGTTTGACACATGAGAAAGTCACAGAGATCATGGCTTGGCTCGCGGCTAAAGTCTCAATCACAAACACCGGCCAGAACATACTCTCTGCTTAAAATTGCATTTACACAAACTTTCTAGTATACTGCACATCACCATAGCAACGCAACAAAATAATTGAGCCGAGGCCTTGGAGATATTGATTGATTACCTGGAACAGAATCGTAGAATATGCGAGCTGAGGCATCAAGATGCTTTGTTAGATAAGCAGATTGACCCACCAATGCCTATTTGAAAATAACACCATCAAACTTCAAATCATGCTGAACAGATGCTAACTAATGTCAAAACACTGAAGCTGACAAGAAACAGAAGAACCATGTTTTCACTTGGATAAGCGGCATCATAACATCTTTCCGGAACTTCGACAAGCAGTTGAACAATCCCCACCTCTAACAAAAACCCCTGAAATGAATAAATTCCAACTGAAAAAGAAACAAAATAAGAAAAACTATGATCACAACGCAAAGGGTATGACCTTAGCATGCGAAATGCTCAAATGAACTAGCTAAGAAAGCGGTAGACTTGAAAGAGAGGAATACGAGTAGTTAAAGGCAGAAGTACATAGACAGAGAGTTATAGAGACTGATCCAAAATACACTCTCTAATAGATGATGAAATTATGGGCAGCAGAAGGATAGAAGCATGTTCAACCCCTTGACACGCAATACGAACTATGAAAACCCAACGCATATCCTGAATGAACACGCTGAACTAAAGCCAAAACAGCAAAGAATCACTGAAGCTTAACAAGAAACAGAAGAACATACAGAAATCCGGTGTTAAGTCTAGTGCAAGGATGCTTGATGATGATAATTGAGCGTCCCCTCCAGAACCGAAGACAGCAGCATAGCGTAAAAGGGTAACTACACCATGTTTTTGGTAAACCACACCTGCATCAGTACATTAATATTAAGAACATTCCTAATTTCTTATAGTAATCAGTATTGAGTGTTGAAAGTTTAGTCGAATTTGCGTTGTTTTTTTTTTCAGTCACAAGTCGAATTTGAGCTGTTTGAATGAGTTTTTGTTTTTAATCAACTCGATTTAAATTATTACAAATTCTGAAAATAATTACATGAATAATTATACAGCGAACAATTTTACTTTTAACATACAGGATCACTCGACTTTTTTTTA